AGGAATTCATATTAAAAAATCACAAAGAGTACAAGAGATGGACCAATAGTTCATTCATACTTTGAATGTCTGAGAGATGGACAATTCATTTTGTCATGTCCACTCCCTTTTCAAACTGCACACTTTTGGGTGACCTCTTTCTCTTTCGCTTTGGTTTTCTCTGTATCTATCTCAGCCCGAGGTACATATCTATCATTGGTAGATCTCCCCTTTGTTCGGGACTGGGGGGCTCAAGGATGTTATAGCATGCATGTCCCTCAAACTCAGCATAGTTGCTACTGCCGGCAATCACATTCTCATTGCAACTGCTGCAAGGGGTCTTAAAAGCACCATCTGGTAATACCGCACCCCCAATCTTGGCCTTAACCTTTGCAAGTGTACTTGATAATTCAGATATTATAAATACATGGAGTTCTACTTTTTCTGAAGCATGCTCTGCTAGTTCTCTAGTGACTTGACAAACCTCATTAAAAAGAATCGAACGGGGTAGATCAGAAGTACCTTGAATTTGTTTCCCATTTCCATCAAGTACCTTTCATCACATTTTTCATCCACCTCTTCATTATGTAATGCACAGGGATTTCAAAAATATTATTCACCATCAAGACCTAAGCTCATGCCTACAAATAATGCCAAGGCTCTCATACATGTGGCAAGTACAGACAAAAGTTTGGTCGTGACTATTGAACTCTACATTGCAGGCCCTTGTTCCACTTCCATGTTTTGATACCTTGAAGAATGCAATTGTGCCATTCTCTTCATTAATTTAACTCGTGTAGTTGACGCCTTCTGTAACTTCTTCTCTAAATAGCTTCATAACTTTATGTGTATATACCTTCGAAGCGTGAGCCTCGATGTCACACGTGGTCCTCAGAATAGGTGTAGATGTCATGTTTTGTAAGTCATTTTCTCTCTTCTTAAGAAGTTTTATATCATGCACTTTTATAGTAGTTTCCAACAGTGTGCACAAGCTTGAATTGGAAGTCACGTACTTTTTAAAGTGCTTATTCATTTCTTCGTTTCTTTGAGTCGATGACATACCTGTTGTATACACCGATCCATTGCTTTCGACATTTGTACAATCTATTGAGTCATCCATTCTCTTGCAGATGATATTTCTCACTAAGGGATTTCCATTTTGACTCAAATTCTTCCTTAGTTTGGCTCATTACACAGTTTCTGAATGTTTTTGGAAAAGATGGACTCCTTCGCAAGGCATGACACAATTTTTCTTTGACATTTGAGAGTATGTGCCACTTACAATAATGATGTCTGCTACTATTCAGAACTTGTCTCACTGCAATGGTCATTGTAGGATCCTGATTGGTGATAATTACTCCCGGTTGACATCCACCTATTGCCTCTAGCCAATTTTCAAATACCCATACAAAAGACTCCACTTTCTCATCAAATATAAGGGCAAACCCAAAAAATGTTGTGTTAAGGTGGTGATTCACTCCAAGTATGAGAGTAAATGGCATGCCAAAAGAATTTGTCTTATATGTAGTATCAAACGTGACTACATCCGAGAAGTGATGGTAGAACACCCTTGACATAGCATATACCCATAGTAGACTGATAATGTGATCTTCTTCATCTAATTTCACTTTATACAAAAAATATGAATTCGAACTCTTCATATCGATTAACCATTCCATCGCACGATTGCCATCTTCCCCTTTGAATTTTCTTCTCTTGTTTCTTAATTGGTTTTCGATGTCTTTTTGTGAGAAAGGGAGATTATCAATCCCTCCAACCTGCTCTAAAAAGATATCATAGATATTCTTAGATTTTACCAAAGCAGGGCTCATGGTGTTTATCATTATCTTTGTCGCATCCGATAATGTTCAATGCGATCACATGAGTCAAGTTTTCCTTAGAGTTATAAGGTTGTGATTGTGATCATCAACAAATCTTATGACAACCCACTCATTGTTGGCATTTATGCTTACACATATCTTCGCTGTACATCCACACCTTGTCTCAGGGATTTTTTTTCTATCTAGCACTTGCTTCACCACACGGAATCCTTCTTTAGAATATGTATATATTCCCTATCAATTATGTTTCCATTGTTATTGTTGTGAGTCTTTCTCTTTTTGACACCAAATGCATAAGCCTTGTAAAACTCATATGCGTCATTTTCAGCATTGAATTTCATTCCTACGTGGGGTTCCTCTATTTGTGACCCCATGGACGACAACACATGTTCTCTATTTTTGGGATTTGTAGACATATTGGGGGACGGGGTTGCAAGCAAGGGATCTTGCTCCATGGGCTCTACAATATCGCCCATGCTGTCATCCTCAGACCATGAGAGAGATGTGATACTTTCTGAAATGGTGAGGTCCATCTTAGGTACTAAAATTACCCTACACAAAACACAATTTCTTTGTCAATTAATGACTTCAACATTTCACATATTTTTAATCACAATTTCTTTGTCTCAACACTTCACATATTTTTTATTAAATGATTTGACAATTTGCATAACTTTTCCTTTGGTCATTAAGTTTAGTTAGATATCGAGCCTTATTCCTTGAACGAAAAGCCCTAATTCTTCATTCAGGATCATTCGCCTTCAAATCTCAACTAAAACAAACCCTGTTTGATTTAAAGGAAACAAACCTAATGAACAGAAAACCCTAAAATCAACACAAAAAGAAAATGTAAATCACCAATAACAATGAGAAAAATAATTGGTTTCTTTTCTGATGAATAAAAACCCCTAAAATCAGCACCAAATGAAACCCTTAACCACCATTACCATTGTATTACTACTTAACAGAACAACATCAATGGATGCCATTCCAGTATTAGTAAAAAAACCTTCGTATTACTAGTCAACAGAGCAATATCAATGGATGCCATTCGAGTATTGAAAAAAAAAACGTCCAAATTAGTACTTAACAGAGCAACATCAATTCTTATAGTAAGATAAAACCATATTTGTATCATTAACAAACCAAAATGCTTGATGATTGAAAAATAACTGGTTTCTTTTCTGATGAACAAAAAGCCCAAGAATTAACACAAAAGGAAACTGTGAATCACTCAACAGAAAGCATTCGAGTATTACAAAAAAAATGCAAAGCAGTACTAAACAGAGCAACATCAATTCCAACAGTAAGAAGAAACCACGTTTGAACTATTAACAAAGAAAAATTGCTTGATTATTGAAAGGCAACAAAAATTATAAACAAAAAGCCCAAGAATCAACACCAAAGGAAACCGCAAATCAGTTAACAGAGCAACACTAATGGACGGCATTCGAGTACTACAAAAAAAAAAAAATCCAAATTTCCATTAACAACCAGCCGAGGAATCAACATAAAGGAAACCGTAAATCAAGTAACAGAGCAACACTAAATTCTTACAGTATTGAAAAAAAAAAACTCCAAATCAGTACTTAACAGAACAACATCAATTCTTATAGTAAGAAAAAACCTTGTTTATATCATTAACAAACCAAAATGCTTGATGATTGAAAAATAATTGGTTTCTTTTCTATTGAACAAAAAGCCCAAGAATCAACACAAAAGGAAACCGTGAATCACTCAACAGAAGGCATTCGAATATTACAAAAAAAATCCAAATCAGTACTAAACAGAGCAACATCAATTCCAACATAAGAAGAAACCACGTTCAAACCATTAACAAAGAAAGATTACTTCATTATTGAAAGGAAACAAAAGTAATGAATAAAAAGCCCAAGAATCAACACCAAAAGAAACCACAAATCAGTTAACAGAGCAACACTAATGGACGGCATTCGAGTATTACAAAAAAAAAAAAAAAAATCCAAATTTTCATTAACAACCAACCTAAGAATCAACATAAATGGAAACCATAAATCAGTTAACAGAGCAACACTAATGGATGGCGTTCGAGTATTTCAAAATTAAAAAAAAATCCAAATTTCCATTAACAACCAGCCTAAGAATCAACATAAAACGAAACCGTAAATCAGCTAATAGAGCAACACTAATGGATGACATTCAAGTATTATAAAATAAAATAAAAAATCGAAATTTCCATTAACAGCCGAAATTGTTGGTTTGTTTGAAAGGACACTTGCGTAATGAACAAAAGCCCCTTAATCAACTAAAAAGCCCTAAAATACATAGATTCCATTCGAGTATATATAAAGCCTTAATAAAAACACAAAGTAAAACTGCAAATCACCATCACCTTCGTTGTGAGGGTGCTCAGACAAAAACCCAACTATAGGGAGGGCAAGATGAGAGAGAGAGACTGGCTTTAATAGGACACGATGAGAGAGACCTCTGCGAGCAGGAATAAAAAGCCCCAGCCCTAAAATCCATGGATTCCATTCGAGTATATATAAAGCCCTAATAAAAACATAAAGTAAAACTGCAAATCACCAATACCTTCATTGTGAGGGTTCTTAGAAAAAAACCCAACTGTAGGGAGGGCGAGATGAGAGAGAGACTGGTTTAGTAAGACATGATGAGAGAGACCTCTGCAAGCAAGGATGGCGAGATGAGAGAGAGAAACTGCGTGCTGGGTGTGCGAGATGAGAGAGACCTCTTGGAGCAGGGATGGCAAGATGAGAGAGAGAGATTGTGTGTTGGGTGTGCGAGATGAAAGAGAGTGCGTGCTGGTTGTGTGAGATTAGAGAGGAGGCTTGCAAGTAGGACTGAGGTTGTCAGCTACGACTGACATCCTACTATTTTGAAAGGGGCAACATCCAAGCGTTCACACTTAACAAAACCATCCGAGCCGTTCGGCGCACCTATTTCCTATGCACGAGCTGGCTCACAGGAACATTTTCCATATATATATATATATAGGAAAAATCTTTGCAACGCCTCTAGGCGATAATGTATAGTATTTCCACCCTCACCTTATCGACCGTCTGTTGAACAAATTGAAATCAAGGGTCGTGATTAACTGAAAACGCTCCGCGCGCGAAACGCTCCTGATTGTCTAAAAAAGCTTCAAACCTCTAAAAATTTCTTTTTACGCTTAGTTTCTATTTCCTCTGCGACCTCCCTCTCTCTGTGAGGCTTCCCTCTTTCTACGAGGCTCCCCTCTTGGCTTGTCCTCTTCTCTCCTCTGCTATGTGAAGACCCATTTTTTCTAGTTCGTCCCCTCCTCTCTCTGCGAAGCCCGATCGCGGTCATCTCCGTCGTTCTCTCCTCTCTCTGAGAAGCTCTGGTTCTGCCACAGACGCCACACACTCCTCCTCTGTTTAGGGCATCAATCGGGTGAGTGATTATTGTTTGAACCCTAATTCATGAAATCTCTCTATTAATCGTGTAAAAAACCCATTTTTTTTTCCAAAAACCTACCCAAGATATTCAATCGGGTGAGTGATTATCTTGATTTTTTTTTGCTCAAACCCAAGCCACAATCTAACCCTGGGTGAAATCTCTCTATTGCTCTTGTAAAAAAACGTAATTTTTTTCCATAAACCTACCCAAAACCCTACGTTTTGGTCCTAACGCCCTACTTTTTTTTTCCCAAAACCCAACTTTTCAGTGTTTCATTTCAGCAGTTAAACGGATCCTGCCTTTTCCCCCTCCTGTGTTGACTCAACCAAGGTATGTGCGCTATATAAGCATTTTACCCAATTTTCTTCTGAATTAAATCACAAAAACAGAGAAACAATCGTTAAATTGGATTTTATTACTGTATTTTATCATTGATTCTGAAAGAAAACTGAATTAGATAGTTATAAATGGGTTTCATTACACAATTTTTATTATTTGGATCTATAACTTGAAGAAGTTGCAATGAATACAGGTGAATTCCCTAATAGAAAAAATAATGCATGTCTTTCAATTGAAATTTTAATACAATTATTTCGTTAAAAAAATTTACTGCATAAATCACCATAGAAAATGCTTAAAAAGATATATATGGGAGAGAGAAAATTTTTTAGGGCATTGTGCGTTCGTTTGAATGAGAACAATGTATTCAAGGTTTTGGATTTTGAGAATACGAACAGTAATTTGGTGAGCCTTTTGGCTTTATACCTTATTGCATTTTTTCTCGTTTTTGAGAATACGAACAATGATTTATTTTTTTTGGAGTATTCATATTTCATTTTATGTATTTTTTTTATTTATAAAATCCATAAAGCAGTTGTTAATTGGCTAAGTTTTCTGAGTTGATGTTGATTACTATCATTAGCACTATTATGTTCCTTTTCCAATAGAATTCAATGTTTTTTCTTTTAGCTTATTACTGTTTTTTATTTTAGGGAGCATGGAAATGTTCATTTTCAGACTCTTTGCTGAGAGTCTTCGCAATCTTGCACGTTTGGATGTGGTAGACATGTGTACAAATACACAGGTCTGTACACATCCTCCAACCAACATGATTCTGTAATTACTTTAGTTTTATTTGTATAGGTGATTGAGATAGCATATAGACAGAAAGATGTGCCCATAACTGACTTGTAATATTTCTCATACCAGAATTTTTTGGAGGTTACTTTTATTTCTAGTCCATCATGTTAATCAATTTTTATTACATAGAAGTGGGTCGTAACTTGGTTCATTTCCATATAATTATCTCTTTTGAGTTTGAAGATGTAAAGAAAGGTCTTCTTTGTCAGGCTTTACCTTCTTGTCATAGCTTTTCATTTACAATGGTTTTCTTTTTCTTACAATTTGGATGATTATGTTTATAGTGTACATTCCTTACATTTGATGTCACAGCTATTTGGTGGGAATGCTCTAAAACTGCCATCTGGGGCTAATTTTTATGGTGAAATCAACATCTTGCTTGTTGGTGATCCTGGTACTAGTAAATCTCAACTTTTCCAATACATACACAAATTACATCCACGAGGAATTTACAGTAGTGGGAGGGGGAGCTCAGCTGTGGGTCTGACTGCACATGTCTCCAAGGAACCAGAAACTAGAGAAACAGTATGTTTTTGAATTCATATGTGCTTGAACCTTACGGTCACATTTTTTGTCTTCTTCTGATGGCAATCATATTTTACAAAATAAATATAGGTCGTACTTTTAGGATAGTTTTGCTCAAACTCGTCAGACACCACACCTCTTGACTTTATTGGAATTTCCTAACTCTTTAAGATTAATCTCCTCCTGCTTTCTATTAACCAGAAGTCATTATCTTTCCTATATCTCTCTGAGCTGTCAATTTTAGTTACCAATAAAAAAAGCTGCTTGATTTAGTTGCTTTTGGATGTTAATGTTATTTTAGTTTTTTTATTGGTTAGATCAGTGGGGAATACAAGCGCCTGCTCATTTTTAGAAATAATTAAGGTTTTTCTAATGCGTCAGTGGGAATGGAAACCTAGACCGGTAGGGTGAGGCCTTGAGATCTTAAGTGTTTTGTTGGTTTATATATTGGCATCCTTGGTATAAACTTTATAAGGACATGACTTTGGCTAGATTTTAGATGAGAGCACTTAGCAGTCCTCATAAAACATGATATATGAAGAAAGAATTGGATTCCTGGTGGCAAACAGCAGATGCCATGATCCAGTTTAGTCTTTTAATCACATAAAAAAATTGCAGAAAAGTGCAGGGCCCTTCTGAGGTTTTCATCCTATGTATTGCATGCCTTGTTCTCATATGGTTCTTATTTTCTATTTAGTACTGGTATATGAGAAAATTCTGGACTCATGAGTCTTTGAGCAATTGAATAATTTGCAAGCCTTTGCATTTCATAATGTGCAGGTGCTGGAAAGTGGAGCTTATGTTCGAGCAATAAAGGCATTCGTTGTATTGATGAGTTTGATAAGATATCTAATAGCGCAAGAAGCATGATGCATGAGGTCAACCTCTAGCTTAGCTGTCCAAGGTTCTCTAGTTGTTATGACTTGCAACAGTTTTATTATTACATTTTCTCTATTTTTTTTCAATGGTGCTCGTTGTCGCTGATCCCATATTTTTGTCATGTTTATTTATTTGAGCGTATTTTTGCTTTGAATTCAAACACTTAAAGAGTTCTCAAGTAAATATGAGGAGAGAAAAGGCAAATAAATTGTGCAGATAAATAGGCATGACTAATCCAGTTGAGTGTTTTGATCACATATAAAAATTGCAGAAAAGTGCAGGGCCCTTCTAAGGTTTTCATCTTATGTATTGCATGCCTTGTTCTCATCAGGTTCTTATTCTCTTTAGTACTGGTATATGAGAAAATTTTGGACTCTCTGAGTCTTTGAGCAATTGAATAAGGTGCGGGTGCTGGAAAGTGGAGCTTATGTTTGAGCAATAAAGGAATTTGTTGTATTGATGAGTTTGATAAGATATCTAATAGCGCAAGAAGCATGATGCATGAGGTCAACCTCTAGCTTAGCTGTCCAAGGTTCTGTAATTGTTTTGACTTGCAACAGTTTTATTATTACATTTTCTCCTCTATTTTTTTTCAATGGTGCTCGCTGTCGCTGATCCCATATTTTTGTCATGTTTATTTATTTGAGCGTATTTTTGCTTTGAATTCAAACACTTAAAGAGTTCTCAAGTAAATATGAGGAGAGAAAAGGCAAATAAATTGTGC